TGGGGATGGAAGTGGGAGGGAACAGTGGGTGTGCTGGCAGGGGAGGCTGCAGGGAGGACCTGTGTGGGGTTCACCCACCCAGTCTCAGGTGGGAGATGCTTTGGGGAGCAGGTTGGGGTGTGGAGCCTGTCCCCCCGGATCCCACTGCCCGGGTCCAGGGAGAGGGGACAGGCTGCAATTCCCAGCCAGACCACAGTGCCCTCTAGCTCCTGGTCCCCCGAAGCCCAGTGCTGGGTCCTGGCAGCCCCCAAAGGTGGGGCTGAAATTGGCTCCTTTGGATCTTACAGCCTCTCTGGTCTCTGAGCGCCTGTAACCTTCAAGGCAGAACGCTGTGTACAAAAACCTTCTACGAAAGAAGTCCTAATCCAGAAAATGGACAAACAGGAACCATTCTGAAGGACACTTGGTTTAAGCCCAGGGCCCACAGCACCCCAGTGCCAGCCTCCTTGCCCTGAGGGTCACTGCTGGTGCCCGCAGCAGGCGATGCAGACAGCTCTGTGGGGCAGGGACCACTGCAGCCTGGACGTGGCCACCAGGACCCCTAGCCCTGCTGTTCTGACATGGGGTTGGCGGCCTATGGTCCCCAGGCCAAAAACAGTTTTTACATTTTTTAATGGTTTTTTAAAAATCAAAAGAATATTTCGTGACTCGAGAAAATTATGTGAAATTCACACACTGGTGTCCACAAACGAGGCCCGGCCACGCCCACTGGTTCACCTACTGTCTTGTGGCTGCTTCCACGGGCAGAGGCCTGCCGCGGCCTGGGAACCTCCTCCCCTTTAGGAGAGTCTGCCAACCCCTGTTCTAGAACGGATGTTGTCTCCAGAGAGAACAAACTCCCAAGGAGGGGAGCCCTGGGCTGACCCGTCGTCGGGCGGCGCACAGGGCGGGTGGGGGCCGGGGGCTCACATGATGGCCCAGCCCAGGTAGTTGGCTGTGCTGCCCCAGTACATGGGGTTGTCCAGGATGTTGAACGGAAATGAGGTCACTCTTGCCTCCTTGAAGATCCCGAAGTAGTCACCTGTGGACAAGTCAGGGCAGGACAGAGGGCCACGCTCGGGTCACACAGCCTGAGGGAGGCCCCCCGGGGGCGTGGGGGCCCCCGGGGCTGAGGCACTGAGCCCCCAGCCCGGTCCACTCTGGGCCTCAGTGCCTCTGCACGTGCTGCTCCCTCTGCTTAGCTGCCTGTCCCTGCTCTCGGGACACCCGTTCCTCCTCGACCACCTCCCTCAGTTCACGGGGCCTACTGCTGGACCCCACCCGCCCACTGTCCAGAGCAGCCCAGCCTGCTGCTCGCTATTTCTGCCCCCAGCTGCACCCTCCTCACCCAAAACTGTGGTCCGGGTGAGCTCCTACCCATGGCACTGCCACCCCAACCCCTGGTGGTCAACCTGGAGGTCAGCCTTCCCACCGCAGCCAGGAGAGTGTGACTCCCATATGGCCAGTCCCCCCTCCTCGAGGCACAGGGACACGGGGACAGGCCTATCCACGGCACTTGCCCCCAAGGGCATGGTGCTGCTCGCTACGGCCCCTCCCCAGACAGCCCTGAGCTTCGTGGAGGGCGGGAGAGGGGCAGCTGCATTATCACTGTCTGGGGACAAGGGGGATGGGGGCTGGGGAGCCACGGGGGGCTAGGAGAGCCTTTCTTCCCAGCGGGCTGCAAGGCAGCGGCACAGAAACCTGCTCTGGAGTGACTCACGGGAGGGGGTGGCCGCTGTGCCCTGCATCCTGAGCCCGTAGGCCCCTCGAGTTTCCAGGCCATTTCTCCTGGGGGGGCCGTGGCGACTGGTGCTCGAGGCCCCTTCCCACTCCCTCCTCCAGACCTTGTGCCCCACCCTCCCCACTCTCCACCGACTCCCAGTGGGGCCACCCGCAGCCTCCTGACCTGCAGTGAACCACGCCCTGCCCCTCCATCCGCCAGCCCCCTCCCCATCCCACAGCCTTCTCTGCGAGCCCCACACTGTATCCCCACCTCCTCCCTGGCCCCCCCGTCCATCCTCCTCACTAGGAGAGGGTCTTTCCACCCCACAACTCCCACCTCCCGAGAGCGAAGCCTCAGCCCCTGCGTCGCCTTTGGGAACACGTGACAGGTCCGCCGCTCACCTTCCGCTCTGGCCCCACTGGCCCCTATGCTCCAGCCACCCTGTCCGCCCCCACCTGCGGACCAGGGGCCCCCATGCCCCACCCAGCTTCCTGCCTGTGCACCCTCTTCCAGCACCCGGGTCCCTCCAGCTCCTGCATGGGCACGAGGCGGTGCCTGCTAGGGTCTCACCGCTGCCCAGGCCTTGCCCGCGTGCAGGCCTCTCGGGATGGTGCCTCGTCGGCCTGTGAGCAGAGCCCCCGCTCCCCATCTTCTGCCCACTGCCCCCACCCTCCTGTCCCTGTGGCTTTTCCTTCCACGTCCGGCCAGGTCAGCCCTGGGCTCCCAGCCCCAGAGCCCTGGAGCCGCAGGCAGTGGGGTGAGCAGAAGGGACAGTGCCCCCGACCTGTCACCTACACCAGCCCCAGCATGTGGCTGGAACACAACGAACATAAATCCTGCCTGTTGGGACAGCCAACCAGCGGGACGAGGCTGGTTGACCGGGGACGGGGGTCCGGCGGGGGGGAGGGGGCGGGGCAGACAGGGAGACAGCAGGGCTCAGGCCCTGTCCTCATGGTCTCACCTAGGAAGGTTCCGGTGAAGCCCAGCGCCAGGAAGCTGGAAAGTACAAACACGCTGCCCACTCCCAGGAGTGCCAGGCCCGCACGGTAGGCTGTGGGGTTGTCCAGGCTCTGCATCCTGGGCTGGCTCAGCATGGCCTGCATGAAGCTGTGGGCCGGGGCGGGCAGACAGGTCACTGCTGTGGGGAGGCCCCCTGCCTTGCCTGCCCCGTCCCCCAGTGGCCCCCAGAGTAGTCAGTCCAAGGCCCTCAAACTCAGTGCCTGCTGGGGCCAGGCAGGTGCCGGAAATGGGTGAAGTGGGCAGCAGGGCCTGCTTGATGTTTAGATTCTTCCAGAGGAGCCAGAAACCCTGACTTGTGTGTAAAGCATCCCAGTTTCTAGAAACAGACAATTAATGACAACCATTTTAGACTCTGGGCAGGACAGCAGGTGGGTTGGCCCAAAGACCACCAGTTTGCAGTCACTGACGGGGCAGAGGGAAGCAGGCTCACGGAAGGCAGGACGCGGGCTGGCCCTGCAAACCTGGTGCTGGGCGTGTGCATGCGTGGCTGTAGGGCACAGCCACTGTGCTCGGGGGGGAGCCAGGAGCAAGGGTCAGGGTCCGCCTCGCCAGGGGAGGCGGACGGCACGGCGAGGGGGCAGGAACAGACTCAAAGAAAGGCTGTGTGTGGGAGCAAGTGCACACCTGCATCACGACGCGTCCCATTCCAGGGTCCTAACGCTCAGAAAAGACGTAGGATCTGTCTCACGCAAGACAACTATCTGACTCTCTTTGTACCAGGAACCCCCCGGCAGGGTGGCTCGCCGTCCACCCACCCACCGACCCGTCTCTCCATCCGTCCACCTGTCCTTCTAGCCATCCGGCCATTCATCCTTCCCTCTGTCCATCCATCACAGGGTCCTTCTGTTTGCCAGGCTCTTCCAAGCAGAGCAAATTCACCATCTCCGTCCATCTGCTCCATCAGTAAATTCAGACTGTCGTAAAAGGACCCTTGTGTTGAGCTAAAACCCACCTCCCTGGACCTCCCTCCTCCAACTACCTTCAGCTCTTGGAGAACAGAGGCTGCCTCCCCCTCCCCTGAGTATCCCTGGCACCTGGCACACGGCAGGCGGAAGGGGTCCCAGTACATATTCACCGACTGGATGAAAAGCGGCACCCCTCCCAGCCCCCCAGGGAGAAGAAGGGGGAGCAGGGAGGAAGGGAGAACAATCAGCAAACAGACGCCAGGGGCAGAGCCCGCATGGTGACCCGTCAAACTGGCACACGTGTGTCAAGCACACCTGGCCGCCACTCACACTGCCCACACCCCCAGCTCTCCACCCACGCTCCCTGCTCCCTGGGCTCAGGGTCATCTGCTGCTCCAGGCTGAGCCTCCAGGCCGGGCTCAGGGTCACACACCCAGTGCTGTGCCCGACTGCCACACCCGTGCCCCACCCCCACGCCCTCACCTGGCCTTTCTAGTAAACCAGCAGCCCTGAGACCCAGGCACACCTTCGAGCCTGCAGACCCAGCAGCTGAGGCCACGGAGCAGACAGTGAGGGCACGGAGCGGGCGTGGGCTCTGCTGGGGTGGGGCTCACCTGCAGGCCCTGAGCTCCTTGGCCACCAGTGCCTCAAGGACCACACAGCAGAGACAGTGCGAGTGTGTGTGTGTTGGGGCTGGGGGTGCACTGCCGTTCGGCCCCTGGGCTCTAACTGCCGCAACACCAGTCTGACACCTGCCCCTCCCTCTGGACTGACCCTCAACCCTCAGACCGAGGGCAGTGAGGCATGGTGGGCACCCTCTGGCCAGCCCCAAGCTGCCCACAGCCTGGCAGACCCATCGGACTCGAGCTTTCTGGGGGCCCCCCGGGGCGACCTGGTAAGAGACGCAGAGCCCCAGCAGAAGAGCGGTGCTGGGCTTCGGACTTGGGTGCCCCGGGCTTCAGTGGCCACCTCCGTGTCATGCTGACACACACTGGGAGCCATGAACCCGCCAGGCTCTGCCCACGGGGCCTGGGTGCAGTGGGAGGGACTGGAGTGAGCCGAGGGGGACACCACGTGACAAAGCTGGACAGGCACACTAGGCAGGGCCAGAGCCGAGATCCAATGGGAGACGTTCGCCGGGGGAAAGGTGGGCAGGAAGAGCATTCCAGGAGGAGGAGCAGCCGGGACCCAGAGCGAGGGGACCAAGTGCGGCCCCCCCGCCAGGGGTCACTGGCATCGTCCGGCAGCAGGAGGCCCCTCGGGGTCCCATCAGGGCCAGTGCCCACCACACCCACACCAGGCTTTCAGGAACACGTGGCCACTGTTGGGTCTGCAGTCCCCAGCGGCTCCATGAAGCCAGGAGAGCACAGTCCTGCACCGGGAACCTGACCAGGACGCTGGGCTCCCACGGAACGTTCTGCACTGGGGGTGGGGGCGAAGGGACCCAGCCACTTGTCTCGAGCTCCACTCTGAGAACGTGGAGTGAGCTTTTGGTCACCAGTGTGACAAGGCTGTCTGCCAAGGGGGTCCCACGGCGCCCGCTTCTATCCGCGACAGACAGCCGTGCAGGGAGCTCGGGCTCGGGCACCTCGCTCGTCTACCAGTAAGTAAGCCGAGCAGAATCCCCAGGAAGCGGGCATCTGACTCACTTATCTCTTCCTGGTACGCAATGAAAGCAGCACACACCACAGAAACAAGCAAGCAAAAACGTTCACCTGCGCAGCCCCTGAAAAGACCTGGAGTTAGCGGCTGTGATGCTGCGCTGACTCTGCACGTGTGACGGACGTGGCGCCTTCACACAGGGAGCCCCCACAGCCAGGGGTCCTGTCTCACAAGGCAGCGTGGGAGGGGCGGGGCCAGGCCGCAGACAGGACCAGCCTCTGGGAGGAGCCCGGGGCCCACCCAGCCCTGTCTGCACCGTCCCTCCGTGCCCGGACCCCAGGACGTGGCCCTGAGCCATCCCCGCGGTCGCCGGGCAGCCTCTGCTGGCAGGAGTCTCAGGACTGGGGGCTCGGTGCAGTCAGGCGTCTTGATGGACCCGATACCGTGGCCGCCCCACGCCGGTGCGGGCTTCTTACAACGAGCGGACAAAGGGCCGGGTCTGGGTCCACCCGGGACTCACCAGTGGGAACGCAGCACGTTCAGCAGCAGGATGGCGCCGCCCAGGGTGTAGCAGGCCAGGCGGGGCGAGCGGAAGGCCCTGCTCAGCTTGCGCGTCTTGTGCTCCCACCTGGCGACCTGCACGGGCGGAGAGAGGAGGAGCCGCGTGAGGCCTGTGCGGGAGGAGAGGACGAGCCGGGGAGCCTGGCACGCACGTCCACCCTGAGGCCTCTGCGGACGGGCACAGGCCCCTGGAAGCAACCTCTGCAACACAGCAACAAGCAGCGGGGGCCTGGCAACCAGGGAGACACCGAGCCCAAGAGCGGCTCTGAGCAGCCGAGGGTTCCTCCACCAGGGCCCAGCACACGCTCACGTCCCAGACGCACAACATCACACACACACATCACACGCATCCCAGACGCACATCAG